TAGAGCCACACTTCCCAGACTAAAAATCCGGATGGTTAGCAGCAAAGCAAAGGAATGGAGAAAGGAATGCTTATCAGGAAGCCGATCAGTCTCCTTCCTGAGAATGAACTTAACAATGAGCATTAACCTAAATTACATGTCCATGTAATTACATACAGTGAAGGAAAGAAAAAAAAAATCCAACCTCCCACAGAAGTACGTACCATCAGACGGTCTCCCTGGCCTTTCCTGAAAGTATGTTTACAATCAAAAGACGAGGAACAAAAGTTGAACGCAACCGTTCTCGGCTAATTACTGGTCGCAGGTTCTTTTTTTTTTTAGAGGATGACCGGAAATTCACAGAAGCTTGTCTCTACTCCAGAAGAGTTTCAGAACAAAGCCCCAGCTCCTGTCCAGGGTGTCCTGCAGTAGGCTAATCCAAGGCCACGGATATCATCCCAGGCTTTTTCATCCTGGAATGTGGACTTAATTACAATCATCTTCATCCAGCGCACACTAACACACTGCCATGATTCATTCATCGGTGACACAAAGTATGTCAATTATACAATGACTTAAAAAAACAAAAGAAAAATATTAAAAAGTACAGACTGCTATTTGTTACTGATGTTTGTATTCCTGGGTATATTTTCAAGACACTTTGTTAATAGGTTCATATATATGGAAATATATATATTTATAATATATATGTAACTTTAGTCTGTGCAAGGAGGTAAAAGACAATCACTTGAATGTAGCTCTTTGCAACAACAGATCAGATGCCGAGTCTCTTGTGCATACACGTGCAGTTAAACATCACCTCGCCTTTCCCTCTAAGACCTCCAGTAGCAAACATACATATACACAAAATGTGAACCAGCATCCAGGAAGCATTCGTGGTGAGCACTGACGCATCTCCTCTCTTTCATGAACAACGAAGACTTGGCAACATTTTCTAGGATGGAACAAAAATGTTTTTTTTCCTCTTTTCCCCTACACAATTTATACAAAAATAAAAAAATTAAAATTGTTCCACTGCCATTTGTATCTTTTACATTTGCACAGAGGTAGTGGCTGAATGCGTGAGAAAGGTGTGTGTGTGTGTGTGTGTGTGTGTGTGAGAGAGAGAGAGAGAAGTTGTGAGGAAGTGAGCAAAATGAAAAAGAACTGGATAAAATGTCTATAAAATGGTTTCTTTTCCGTCACCAGAGGATTTGTTTTCCTTTTTGTCAAAGAACAAAATATAATACTGCAATCACTTAAAAAAAGTAGTTCTTCATTTTATACATTTTATACAGTGTTCTCGTTTTTTTGTTGCTTTTCTTTTCAGTTGGTAAAGGCATAAAATGAGAGAGCTCGCTGGCTCTAGGTTGGGCGAGGCAGGGCAATGTTGGCAGAGTTCAGTCCATGCCGAGGTCTATGCCAGGGGGTCGCTCATGTCCTCGTCAACCTGGGAGAGGAGCTCCTTCTTTTCATCAGTGCTCGCCAGAGAATTGCGGCTGTTGTGGGCACCCATGTACAGGGTGGCATACACTGGGTTCGTGAAGTTGGTGGGCTGCGGAGTGAAGAAAATTTCTCAGTGACTCAGGCAAAAGAAATGAAAAGATTTGGTATATTGTGAAAGAAGCAGTATTTTGCTTATTCAAATAGGCTCAGCTCGCATAAATAACAAGATGTTTCCCAGCTCAGTGCTGAAACCCTGGCAGACAGTTGTGGTTTGTTATGTTTTCTGTGTTTGGTTATTTGTTTCTGAAAGTCTGGGCACTAATCATCTGCCCCCAACAAACCAGTAGGTGTATTTCCAGTGAAGAACTTGCAACTTCTTTTTAAGCACTCAGGACTTTATGGACAATTCCTCATTTGATGTTTTATGATTGTGGTGAAAAGTGTTTGAATATAGTGACCATGAGGGCTCCAGCATAAAAGCTTTATTCAGCTACTTCCCTTATTCACAGTGGATTTCCGTTCCTGACACCCCCCCAAGGGATTTTTGTCTCCAGCTGGGATTAAACTGGAGATTTTTTCACTTCTTAGGTGAATGTAAAAGAAATGGTATTTATATAGTGCCTTCATACTGTGCTTTTATCTGCTGAATGCATTCACACACACAGAGGTAACTCAGGGTTCAGTATCTTGCCCAAGCATCGATCTGTATACAAACCACTCGAGCCACAACGTGTAAACCATGAGACTATGGAGCCACTCATCAGAACTAAAGTATATGATTCACATAATTCTAACAATATTCATTCCAAAATTCATTACAGATGCCAGAAGTAAATACCATAACGACACCCACTGGTTTCCTAAGTCTTGCTTTAAAGCTTTTGCATTTGGACTGTGGCGATCTCGATGGCAAAAAACTGGATATAAATGTAGAAAAGTGATTACAGATCAGTCAAGACAGAAAACTGTTTTTCACTAGACGTCCAAAGGACAGGAATATATTGAGAAACCCAGCTACTTTCATCCAGTGTTCTTTAGATCACAAAGAAGGGTCTATTTACTGTCTATAATGACTCCACAACCAAAACCAATTCATTAAAAAAAAAAAAACTCACAAAAGGACTCATAAATGTGTTGTCTCACTGCTCACCGTATTGCTTTTAATCACCTCAGCTTGTCAGCCATACCTACCATATCACTGCATGGTGCTCACACACACACAGACACACTTAACCAAGAGGAAACTCTGGCTTTAGTCCTCAAATGTTAACAGTATTCATCACATTTTTTCTTTAAATTCTGTTTTTTTTTCTTGTTTATTTGCTTTTAACATCCTGCTCTGTTAAATCGCCATGTAAGTTGGAACAATCATATTTCATTTGGAGAATTTCTTTAACTGGCAAAAACCCACGTTTGTGGTTCTGATTGTTTTGTTATAATTCGATTTCTTTTTGATATAAGGAATTAAATGGATTTTTATAGTAGAAATGTACGATGGCCGTGTCTGTCATTTGGAAAGATGGAGAGGAGAAGCAGTCTACTTCATACTTCAGTACATTAGAAAATAGCCTCACTTATCATTAAAGAATGAAGAAATAAAACACAAACCTGTAGAAAGCACTTGTTTGGATGTTGCTTAATCTGGAAAGGCTTCTGAATTGTAATGAAAGTCTTTGGTCTTGTTACATAAATCATCATATTTATTAAACAGGAAGTGTTGTCTTTCAGTCAACAGACAATCCCAAGAATAGCTTTTTCTTAAAAAAAAAGTATGTTTCTTTTGATTTCAATACACACAAGAATAGTGTTTTATACAATCTTGAGCCAAATTTAAGTAGTGTTAAGATGTATTGCTCCCTTTGTGCCAATGTCATGCAAGTCTCTAAAGCTGTTAGGAGGAATAATCAGTATTAAAACGGATAAGAAAAAGAAGCTTTAAATGCACTTCATCCTTCATCTGTTAATACATTTAGAGCAGGCTAACCAAACAGCAAGTGTGCCTTTGAAACAGTAGTCCACCTGGAGTCTCCTTCATGCGTCTGTCACCTCCTAACTGTCACGCACGGTGTGACAGGAAGTGTTGTCAAGGCACGTAATATTCTGTTTTTAACCACCACTTGGTCAAGGCACAAAACTCTGGGGACTCTCGTGTCAGCTGTTCTGATGTACTAGAGGTAAAAAGGAACTAACATACCTTTAAGCTTTTTTTGTGCCTTCAACTTGCATATTGTTGTCAGGATTATAAGGCTAATGTTATATTACAAGGCGGTAAAAAATACAATCTTTACCAAATGAAAGATGTAAAATAAACAAATTATGGCTGACTGACGAGAAATAACACTGTTTACACAAAAAGGCACTTCTTAAGCGGAACATCAAACTTTGGAGTAATTTGGTTTGTCTAGCTTGACAAGAAGAACCAGTACAGTGATGGTCTTTGCTCCCAGATACAATCAAAATAAACAATATTAAGTCTGATTGAAAGCGTCTCGAAGACTTGGCGTAACGCTGCGAAACAGTCCACGAATGTCTGTTATGACATCGCACCTCCTCTGTTATTTGCAGGAGGCTTTTGCAGGTGTCTTAAAGGCAGGCGTCCCAGCAGCAGCAGAAGAGTCGGCAATTTATCTTGGCTGCCTCCCAGTTTAAATCCTGCTTTGACTGCGTAATCTTCGGATATTAATGGGTTTTAGGAATGTCCACATTAAGATCCACATGCTAGCAGGCACTTGTTAGTGAAAGCACAATTCCTCCTCCAGTCCTCAGATGGCCTCACCTGTGCTCTGGTCATCCTCCCAAAGGTCAGTGCCGACAGAGCAGGGAAAGCCTTCTGCTCGCGGTGACGAAGGAGTAGTAGCGCGTTGTGCTTCTGTAATCATGCCTGCTCATTTAAAGTGGTTGTAAAAGGGCATCCATAAATAAATAAATTACCGGGCTAAAACAAGGGCTTTGTCCTGTCCTCGCTTTTCAGTCTTTGCAGATCTGCAACCTCAGGGTTGAGATGCGCCACTGGGACAAAGGGAAGGGTTACAATAGGGAGGGGACTATAAGTGACGAATAAGTGGTTTAGGGTCTCTTCCAACCGCTCCGGATCAACGCGTCCGCTCGCAGGAAAGGCTGGTTTCGGAGATCTGTGAGTAGGCATGGAGAGGGGGGTGAGAGACAGGGGGACACACATGTTAGACGACCAAGAGGTCAATCTGGACATTTGCTTCTGTTTACATCTCAATTTCTTAAGAGTGTTTTTAAGCAAGAAGAGCAGAGGATGTACACTCAGTTCTCACTTTATTAGGTACACCTAATTTATATCAGTTGTTCCCTCATTTCTGTAAATAAGGTTAAGCTAAAAAAAAGAAAAGCAAATAGGAACACCTTACTGTATAATACAGTACATGAAAACAGCACCACAAACCATATTTCCTCTTTTTTACAATGAAGATGAAACTATGAAAAGTTGCCTTTATTGCAGGACTGTTGTTAGTCTGCATTAGTTTGAGCTCCCTAATAAACTGACAACTGAGTGTTTATTGTTATAATTTTCAAATCCAGAAAATCTGGAAACACTTGTGCAGTTAAAACTTTGAGTTAAAGCTGAAATTGTCCATAAGAGCTACAAAATTAGCAAATGTGGCAGGAATGCCACATTCCCATAGCCTTGTATTTCAACTGCTAGAAGTGGTGCTTCAAAACGGAGAAATTCAAGGCTTTGAGACGGTGGTTTTGGCAAATCAGTAACACTAAACAATGAGGACGTTACAAAGTAACCACTCTGGTTACGATACAGTGGTCAACAAGCTCTTGAGTTTGCAGATTACCAAACAGGATGGCTGTCACATAGGAAACAAAAGTGTGGATACAGACTGTGTTCACGTAAGTTTGATTCTGTTTTCTTCTAGAGCCTGTTGACCAAATAGCTGTTGAGCACACTGCAGATGACATTTAGCACAGACAAACATGGCGGACGCTGCCGACAGGTGAGAGGTAAATAAACAATGGACAACATGCAACACGTAACAGGAAGGGGTGAGGATGATACTCATTTCTAAGGAATAAATTTGACATTAATACTAAAAGAAAAATGCCACTAGTGTTGCTTCTGAGGTGGGCTTTGTAGACACTTAAACACCTGAGTTCATATTTTTATGGCTGTTTTAAAAGCAGGTAAGTTGTTTCTTTTTAATACTATGCTGACTTCTTCTTTTTACAAGTTCAACCTTGTGTTGTTTGCTAGCAAATTTTATAGTGTTCTAACACTTGTGTGTGTGTGTTTCTTTGCTTGCAACTGAAGCACTAGCTGAAGCAGCTGACATCACTGTAGCAGCACACAGGAGCTGGAGGGCCAAGCAGGCCGGCTTTCAGCCAGGCTACCTTTCTTACCCTCTCCTAGGAGTGGGAAATACTGTCATTAATCTTCTTTTCAGCTGGAGGGGGGCAGAATAAACAGTGGTGGTTGAGGAAAGAAGAGTCACATGTTAGCCGGAAAAACCAACACCAAACAAGTTAGTCTCATGGAACAAGGCAGTGCTGATAAAATAAAACAGTCTGCTAGCCAAACCTCTTTAGATTCAGTCCGTTGGTATCGGATAATTTGAAAGAAATATGGCAAAATAACGCAAAAGCCTACTGTGTCATGCATGATGTCCTACACGTGATCACAGTCAGGACTGTACTGCAAGCGTGTCAACATATTTTACACACAAAAACATATTGACACTCAATGCAACTTTCTCAGCTCCAGGCAAAGAGGTTTGGCTGACTCCTATCACCAGACACCTGATAGGAGTCTTCTCAACACAAACAACCAGTGACGGCCCGAGTTAGTCATCAGTAGTCATAGTTGAGGGTGGGGTGGGATGACAGAAATCATGCTGCATGCACATGGAGGTAGTGGTAGTGGGTTGCGAGGGAGGGTGGGGGGTTCAAAATGCGTATGAGAGAAACCTGGTCAACCTTGGCATTAAAGGGGAAGGGCTAGCAGTTGGCGTCGTCACAGAGGTTGGCTTCACAGAAGAAACGTGAGCCGCGTTTAGCAGTGCGGGCCGTGAAGGGCACGCTCTTCAGTACTGGGGGGAGGAGGCGGAGGAAGAGAAAACATGTCACACCTGAAACACTGCCCTAAGGGGGAGGGGCAAACCTTGTGAAAGCCTAGCGTTCTTAATAAGGTTAAGGACATGTCCTGAAAGCCGTCCACTGGATAAAACACAGTTAGAGCTCTGATAGTAGTGACACACAATTATTCCTATTATTAACACTAAAGTATAATGAAGCAACATTCATATTATTTACACTTTAGACAGTTATTAATGATCATCACAAAAACATCAGTTAGGTTATGTGCTACGCTGAGGCTGTAGATGCAGGGTTTTCTCCCAATAAAGGCTTAAAATACGTAGGTGTGGTGTAAGATGATTTAACTTTGGCATCTCCAAAAATTAAATGTAGGAAACGAAATTGCACACTGCCCAATCACTGTCCGCTCTTTGCAAACAGAATATTCTGCTATTCTGCTCGTGTGCAGTTTATATCCATGTCTGTCCAGACTGGTATAGTACGAGCAGTGAAGACAGGCACCTACCTACCTCCCAATCTCCACTTCTGTCTTACGACATTCAAACAGTGGGCAGAAAAGTATGTTTGCCCAACATTATAATGTTGCTCAATCACAGCTAAGTTAACCTTTTGATCTTTTGGATACAACATGTCATCATTTTATTATTTTTCCTCCAATTTTGTCATAGTTAGACTTTAGTTTTGAGCAAAAATTTCGTTATGAGGTCACGGCGATCTTTGAAATTATAGTACAAGTGACTTTTTTGTGCCAGATTAGAAGAAATTAAAGAGGTATGGAGGTATAGAAAGCCAAAAACATGATCCCTCCAGGAACAGCTGCTTGAGGCTGTCGTGGATCCTAATTATTAGTACCTCAATTTACTTCTTGAGACCCGGCCTTTCTGAAAACACACACTTTGATACCCAGCAGCATTTCCCCTAACAGACTAGACAGCATGGCATGGAACAACGCTTGCTATTTGCTGTGCTCCAGATGTGCTGGTGTCTGAAGCACGTAGCACAAGGTGCACTTCAAAGGAGCTGAGCAGTCGATGACCACAGTCATCCTCAGCCTGGGAACACCGGGGCTGCTGGCACGCACATGGGTTCTTTTAACAGTCCTGTCTGGCCCACCTGTGATAATGTCTTCAATAGTGCCATCCTTGCCCTCGTACACAGGCCGGTGGTCTTTGGCTTGCCGCCTGCGCAGCTCTGCAATCAACTCCTGCTGCTGGTGCCTCTTCTTCTGGGCCTGAACCTGAACCAGTGGAAAGGATATTTGTTCGTTTTCACTGTGATTCTTGGCCTACGATAAAGCTTTATTTAGCACTGAGTAAATACGTGATAGAGTTCATCCAGCGGGGCTGCACCTTAGGGTCATGCTGCTTCGCCTCCCGAGCCAGTAACTTTTCTCTCATTGCTTCCTCTTGCTTTTTCCTCTGTTCATTTTCTTCCACTGCATCCTGTTGAGAAGAGAAATAGATGACACATCTGTGACAAGAAACTTCAGTGGAAATAAATCCAACAACGTGCTTTTGTGTGGCCATGTGAAGCAAAGAAAAAACAGTTGAAAAGCTGGGCATAAACAGGAAAGCCACGCTTTACTAAACATGACCAGGACCACGCACGCGCTTAAATGAACAGTTTGACATACGGAGAAAGATAAACAAAGGGATCAATAAGTATGGTAAATATGACACTTTAGATAATTATAAATCAGCCAAGCTGGGCAGAAATATTAAAAACAAGGCAACAGCTTCCCTGACTTGAATCAAAATGAACAAAATCTGACAATGTGTTTCGTTTTTTTAAACCAGATAATCTGAGCTGATCTGCTGTGGATGACAGAAACAATAGTTTCTCTCCAAGAACACAAAGAATCTCAGCGATAAGTTGTTCCTAGGCCACTAAGAAAAAGCAGGTGATTTCACAGTTAGCAACAAATTATTTAAAGATACTCTTTCTTCTTTAACGTCTTTAACTGACTGACAGTAAGCTCTACGGGACACAGAACATTTTCAGCCCATTTTCTTCCAGTTTTTCTCGTGTTAATTTGAAGTTTGGGCTTGAAATTGTAACCTTCTCTTTCTCGTTAGTTTGTTTAGTATTGTGGCTTTACGGCAACTCCTGGCTGTTCTGTTTATTTTGGCTCTCACTTAAGTTAAATTAAAGCTTCTATGTCTGACAATAAGAGGCCTTAAAAACTGTAGAAAACTATATTCTATTACTCGAGGCAACAAGTGTTTGTTAAACAGTTCCTTTAGAGCACATGCGCACACTCAAACAGACACATGAAATCCTTGTGTTGCACATTTCCTTGAGCAGATCCCATAAATCTAGATGGAGAACAATCTCAGGATGCGTGCTGTGTGTTGGGGCAGGGAGAGGCAGTCCGGAGGTAAAGGGGGGGACGACGAGTCTAAACACCACAGCTGCAGCTTCTAAAGTCAGACCCAGCTGGCCTTTCCTGTTATTTGGCCTGGGAGTATACGCCACGTCCTGTGCCACAAAAGCAGCCAAAGCTCTGCCCCGCTCTGCTCTCAGCAAGGCTGACAGCAAACCAGGGAACTTCCCAAATGACCAGCTGAGGAAGTGAGGAAAGCTACAGAGATGTAGCTTCTGCTTGGCGTCCTCACCTTGTACGCCTTGATGAAGCGCACGAACACAGGGAAGAACACGGAGGGTGGAGCCGTCTTGGCACTTTCTCCAAAGTAGCTCACCACACTGTTAAAGGCTTCCTGGAATTGGGAAAGAGAATGTTTGTAAACACTGTCGAGTTAGTGGCTGCGCATCAGATGTCAGTGAGATGAATGAACGAGAAAGGTTTCATTTTCATTTGTTCCAGTGGATAATTTGAGGTTTTGGAGGTGAAGACGCTGTCGGATACCTCTGCCATCTTGGCGTCCTTCTGTAGCTTGTCCAGCTGTGAGTCACTAGCCTGGACAAAACCTTTCAGGACTGAGTGGTCGTGGAGACTGCACTCTCTCCGGATGAGGTCCATGCCTTTCCCCAGCTCTCGAACATCCAGCAGTACGTTTTCCAGAGACACTTTGCACGCAGACATCAGAGCATATTTTAAGTATATTACGTAGCGTTTTATCCAGATGTTAACACCTGACCTTTCTGTGAAAATACTGCGTCTCCACAAGGTTGCTGACAGAGTTTAATATTTGGTGCACGCTCACCTGCTGCAGCTTTGTCCACAAAGTGCAATTCATTGTAGAAGTTGGTCAGTTCAGGGTACTTCTCTTTCACAATAAGAGCTATGTAGTGGAGCAATGTCATCTTTCTGTCTGTAGACTTAGTGTCCAGAAGCTGTGTAAAAAACATTGTTAGGAAAAGCAATTTAATAATAAACTCAGCAGCACACTTTTGTGCTGACTGGAATTCCAGTAAACTTCACTACTGATTACTCACCAGATCAAGGCTTTGTAATTTGAAACCATAAACGCAGCCTCGTTTGCTGCTGTTCATGTAGTTTCCTAGGGCTAAGATGATCTACGAGTAAACCAAAAGCACCGAGTGAATATATGCATTAAAAAATACAAACGCTGCTGCTGTGAAAGTCAACAAACACATCTCACTTCAAGCATCCTCTTGAGCTTTGGTGCCGACTTGATTGAGCCAGAAGCAGCAATGATGGCGTTGAGCTGTGGCGTGAGCATGCTCACGTTGTCGGCAAAGTTTCCAACAAAGGTGATAATGTTCATTCTCTGCGTCAGCCTCTCGATCTTGCTGAATAACAACATGAAGCGATCCTCCTCTGCTAACTGATCCAGCGGACGCCGCTCGCGCTCGTACTGACGCATCACCTTCACTTCTGCCTCGGTGGGCAGGAAACGCATCAGGCACTCCACAAAGTCGACAGGTAAGGCCTTGAGGTCAAACCTGAGTGAAGATAACACGTTACCTGTAACTTGTTCCACAGAAAATTATGTAAGTATGTAAAGTTTACGTAAAAGACAGGTGCATACTTCTCTATGGCTTTGCAGATCTCTTCTGTTGTCTTGTTAGCCTTTCGCAGTGTGATGGCTAAGTTCTTGGAGCGATTGGCGTCCAGAAGTGTGACTTTGTTTGCCACCTTATTGGCTACTTTGCTCTTTGTGCAGGAAAGATCCACAACTGGACCCTGGGCTCTCGTCTTAAATAGCTCCTCAAACCTCTCCAGCTCCAGCTCCTGCATGTGAACAACAACTCAACTTTTACTTGCTCTAAATTGATGTTAAAAGTCCTGAACACATAAGTGTTATGGTGTTGGTATGAAGCCGGTTATTTCGCGACACACTGCTCTTATCATTTAAGTTTAGTTTTGCTTTACTTTTTCCTCTTATTAAGGTTTGAACTCAACTGGAAGAGACTAGAGAAACCTGAGCTTTTGACTATGGAAAAGTTTTACTGAGATTAATACTAATTTACCATAAATTCAAATTTGACACATATTAACCAAGACCTACATCTTAACATGAAAGAGGTTTTATCTTCTTGATTTACCTCTAGCACACGTTCATCATCGATCTCGTTGAAGACTGTGCCATTGATCTGATTGGGCTTCAAGGCCGTCCAGTTAAACACAGGCAAGCGGAACTTGGTCTTTATAGGCTTCTTGATCCTGATAGCTGTGGTGAAGAAAGTGTTCGTTGAATTCAGAATGAACGGTACTTATATACCACTTTTCAACGCGAAGCTTTATTCAGCCACTCACACACATTCATACAACCATCTTTTTCTATGGCTAAGTGATTTTCGCCTATCGTTCACACACTTATACTCCGACGGATGCATCTTAGAGTTCTGGACACTTCAGCGCACAGACTAGAGGAGCCAGGGATCAACCCACCGACCTTCAGATTAGTAATCCACTCTACCTCCTGCCACCCGCAATCCTCTGATCTAGTCAACCTTGAACATCAAAATCGAAGGCAAAGACAACCAAGTTTAATTTTGTGTGCACGCTCACCTGACAGACCTACGCTCAAGATGACAGAGGGGGAAGCTTCTGGCAGAGGAGGAGCAAGGGGAGGAGGTGGTGGTGGTGGGACTGGCGCAGTGTGTCCTGTAATTAATGCAGAAGAGTATTTTTATTGCATGTTTAGTAACAGCTTCGTGTTCTACGTGAGCTGCCACCTCGGCCTGACAATCGCTGAAAACAGATTTTTAAAGTTAGTGAAACCTGATAAAGTCTAGTTATGATAAAAGGCTGGAAAGTGCTCCAACAGTCAGTGCGGCCTTTCCGGAGACAAAGGAAACCAGCCTTATGTTTCCCTTTCCTGTCTGGCTTAGAAGAACACTGCTGTGACCCATCACTTGGTTTGGCACGAATGAACAAATATAGGGAACTGAAAATAGATCTGCTCTGAGGGTCCACAGATGAGAAAGTCAACTTTCACATACATATACATGAATCACTAGACTGCAAGTCACAGTGTTGTCATCACCTGAAGCAGATGGCAGGGGAGGGGGAGGGGGAGGAGGCGGTGGAGGCGGAGGTGCTTCGCTGGCTGGTGGTAAACTTGTGTCGGGTCCTCCTAGTTCTGTCAGCCCTGCCGTTGAACCCAAAGACAGCTTTCCGATGTTTCCCAAGGGTATCCCGGCACTGCCGACGCCCAGCGGCTCAATGGCGATGTCTCCATCAGGTTTCTTGTGCAAGCGGATGGTGCCCTGCTGTTCGAGCTCCAGCAGACGCTTCTCAATGTTGAAGTGCCTCTGAAATGCAGCATCCTTCTCCTTGATCATCCTCCTCAGGGTGTTAACCTGAGTGCTGGTTGACTCGTATGTCTCCTGAGCAGTCACCAGGGGGTGATAAAGAGCATAATGCACAGTGACTCCACAAGCTAAACAAACATCCTGTCTCTTTGTGACCTAATTTGCTAATACAGCAATTTAGCCACAAGCATATGAACCTGATCTCTGCTAACAGGCACGGAATCTGAAGCCTTTATGATGCGAGGAGAGCAAGAAATATCACGTCGACTGTGGCTTACCCGTATTACGTTCAGCTCCTTATCTTTCTGAATGAGCAGCTTCTCCAGATCGGCTACTTTCATCATTGTTTCATTCTCAACCTCCAGAAGCTTCTCAGTCACCTAGAACAGAAGATGGAGCAACACTGAGATGAGAGAAGGAAAGAATTGATCCACACAGTGGGCATCTTTCCCAGCTCCACTTCCCCATCCCTCCTCCCCATACACTGCATCATCACTAAGAAATAAGATACAGCGAGCAGCATGATGCAGCAATAACATGACACAGCTCTCAGTTTTGATTTTACATTACACATCTTTGCTAAGGAATTCAGAGAGAATCTTCACCCTCTTCCTCCCCCATCATTTCTGACCTCTGAGAGCAGAGTTTGTTTTCAAATTCCAAGAATGATGTCAGGGGCTGCCTACGACCTTTCCATGTGAAGAAGGTCTTTGCAAAGCAGCGTGGGATACAAAGGCAATAGCCCAGAAAGACCGAGCCAACACGAGAACAATAATAAGATTGTTTCACGCACTCTATTTTCCAGCATTCCCCACCCAATTATTATCCTGAACCACTTGTGAAGTGCAAACACCGAGTAGATTTCTAATTGCCATGTAGAAACAGCCAACTTAAGTACATAGCTGGTGAACCACAACAATCTCATAAATGTGTATAGAGAGCAGTGTTGGTGGTCCAGACTGGGTGGTGCACTTACGTGGGACAGGTGCTCCTCCAGTTCCTCCACCTTCTCCAGCGCTGCATTCTTGGTTTCGGCATCTTCTAGCAGGCCACCCACATCAAATACGTTATCAAGGTAAGCCTGGATCTGAACCGACAGCTTGTCGCTCTCCGTGTGTTTAGATTTCTGGCACGAGAGAGAATAAATTCAACATTAGTGACACTCCACGAATAGTCTCCACGTAGACAATGAGAGCGATTGGCCCAGTTTAAGCACAACATTATTTCTTTACCTCCAGGAAGTCATCTAGTCCCAGTTTGGTGAATTCATACTGCAGATGCACTCTGAAGTTCATGTCTTCAACTGAGTGGACCACAATGTTGATGAACTGCATGCAAGCAACCTGGAGAACAAATGCAAACACCAGCTCATTAATATTCTTTATATACTTGATACGTATAATCTGTATCAGAATATTTTATCTTAAAACTGACATATAGTCCACTGGATTTTGCATTTGCACCTTGTATAAAAGTGTGTTTTCCTTCATGCAGATAATAATAAAAAATACCTTTGGCATTTGAGCCAGACATTTTTATTTGTACTGATGGATGTACTCTCACACAAAAAAGACACATCTGTATGTAACTAAACGCTTGTCTTACCATGAAGTCAATGTTTCCCTCTTCACTGCGGAAGTAATCCATCAGTCTCTCAAAGCGATGCTTCTCTTTGCAAACCTGAAACACACCAGGTGAAGATTTTTTTCTCTGGTTTAAAAAGTAGAACAAAAACTTTGTCCGATGTAGACAAAAAATAAGAGACCCGAGAAAGGACGTTTTAATTGAATGTCAAAGTGGTACCTTAGGGAAATATTACCTATATTTATCACCCATAATCAACATGTTTTTTTTGTCCATGGCACTTTACAAATTATTTATTTATTAATTAAGTAAAAAAATCATGCCTTTGGAGCAAACCACAATGCTGAGGTGTTCATGAAGTATGCAGCAAAATCAATGAAGCCAATGGCTTCATAATGTTGTGCTGTGGACATAACAAATATCTGATAAACTGCTGCTTTCACTGATGTGTTGCAGCTCTATCAACAAAAGCATAATCAGGATAAATCAACCATTTCTTTTATTCTGTTTTTCTACTCGCAAACAACATAATCTCAGTGTTTGACTTACGTTGTTTCTTAAGTTAATGAAATAAAAATCCTTTTCCTTGCACACAAACACTGTAGCTGTGGATCTAAAATTTGACGACTAGTACAGCTGCTATGATTTTTCTCTGAGGTTTATAGAACAGCATTCTCTTATTTGGCACCTCGGTCATAGAATAACAGTCAGAGCACATTACAGCTGAATGCTTTTGTTTTCTTGGGAGAGTTCAGAGCTCTCATAAAGACTTCTGCAAATGAACAGCAACTGCTATCGATCTTGGCCAGGTCCACCTTGACAAAGAGATGTTAATCTCAAGAGAATTCCTGGTTAAATAAAGGTTGAATAAATGAAATGAATAAAAACATAGAATGAATAGCAAACGTGACCTTCTCCCTGTGAGATCTCAGACACCTGTCACTTTGTGTTAATGCATCATTTTGGAAAAACAGCAGTACTATGTTGTTTCCACTAGAGAGTTGATCAGCTCTTGGGTCTCGCTGAGGCTTTGGACTGTAAGGCATTTTGTCTGGTTCCGGAGTTTAGGTGGCTGTACGAGCAAAAAGCAAAAAGGCTAAGCAAATCTTTCTGGTTCACTGGCTCCCACTGGGAAGTGATCCTCTGATTATTGTTCAAGGTTACTTAACATCTGATGTCTTAATGACTCCAATAATCTCAGACACGCCACCATAGAGCTTTGCTTGCAACCTCAGATAGATAAAATCTCTCAGAGCTTCTCAGTTTTCGGCCCGCTACACTTGACCTTTATGCCTTTATGCACGCCAGTGATGTGGGAAATTAGGGCAATTATATTGATGTTACTTAAATTTTGATTAGTATATTCAGACATAGCTAGGCCAGCGATATGTTACAACTTAATCCTGAACATAACAACTTGAGAGCTTGTTAAAAATTCATTAAAAAGTTGCAATAGGCACCTCTTTGAAGTTGTCAAATGCTGAAAGGATGATCTCATGACCTCCTCGGACAAGACAAACAGCAGCCAGCAGCTCAAGGACCAAAGCTTTTGTCCTGAAAATGCACCAAACTTTCATCAATACAACTACATTTTTAAAAAAAGTACAGTTTTATATGTTCTATCACAAAATTCAAGCATCCTCAAAATTGGTGTAGATATTAACATACAGGGCTCAAAAGTCATAATCTGCATTAATGTCTGAAGCTTTGGTGGGTGTTTCCATGGTTTTTACGTGTTTACCCTCATAGACTTTATTATGAAGTAATCATTCTCAGTGGTTTACCACAAATCTCCCTTTAGAAAACATTCCCTTAACGACCCGTGTATACACCTCTGATCCTCGACTTCAGAGAGAAGCAGAGGCCCACGGAGAAGCATATCGTATGAATTGGCTGCAGGGTTTCCCCTTTTGTTTGGCCCGGCCCTGCTTTTATGGAGGAGGGGTCCTGAGTTCTTACCGTGGGTTCTTATTGTTCAAGCTGAGAGCAATTTCATTGACTGCATGTGCATGAGACATGACCATATTGAAACCGTACTGCATGGAGAGAGACAGAGAGACAGAGAGGATGTGGTCAGAAAACCTGCATAAAGGTTCAGCACTTGACTGCACAGGAAGCATATCATGCTCCAAGTTTATGAGACATATCTGATTGTGGGTCGTAGGTGGTTCCTGGTACCTGGTAGTTCATGATTGCTCTCAGGCACATGATGCACACATGCACATCATCCTTTTGACTCACGAGGCGGGAGTTCTTGATGGTTTTGCTATTCGCGACTGAGCCGTAGCTGCAACAGATTCAGCACATTAAAGCAAATTCAGCAATGAAATTCATGTTCTGGCTTCTATTCTGTTAGTCAAACAGAGCTCTGAAGTGTATCTACTATTTTCTATGATTTTTGTTTTAAGTGTGTCGCAGCGAGAGACAGAAAGAGAAAATTACAGAGAATGAGGTCTGACAGAAAAAAACTTAGATGGCTTTTGAGGTTACAGATGCATTATGGGAAATGCCTGGTTTCCTTGTTGCTGTTAACAGACCGAATTCTGTTCACAGACTGCTATTATGTAACTGTATTGCACAGTCATTTCATGGTAACTGTTCTGGTAAGGTTTATGATCGGGATAACCATACATCAAGAATATGTTTTTTTTCCATACTTTGTTACAAATGTGGGCGGAAAAACTTTTTATACCTTCTACCAATAACAGTTCAGCAGTAATTTATCTGACAATATATTTATATAATATTTATAAGTCTAGAGTCTGTCCTTGTGGACTATTTTTGTGCACCCTTATATAATATCTGTTTTTCCGATCAGACTTTACACCCTATCTGTCTTTAAGTCATGTCTCTACAGTAGTGAAGAGGAGAATCACAACTATCCAACATATGTTGCTGCTCACAGCTGGATCTCATCTGTGGACAGTGCAGATGCACATCTGGGCAGATGAAGGAGAACCGTTAACAAAGAGAGACAGATAGCACTAAAGGTCAGAGACTTTTTAACACACCAGTACTAAGACAATGGGCTTGCATGCAAATATAGCATTCAAGGTTAGCAGAGCAAGGCAGTAACAGAGGAAGCTAATAGCGGGAAGCTTGCTTAGCAATACATACCGAAGAACAGACTGGCGGGCAGAGCGCACCAGAGTGTTGCAGAAGGGTTGGGCGTTCGTATGGTGCAGATCCTCTATGGACCTGCTCCAAGATTTAGACTTGTCCAAGAAGCTATCCTCCCCATTTTCCAGCCCCTCAAAATCCAACCTGGGCCATAGACAAACAGAGAAGCCAACACAGAGGCACAGGGGTGTAGATGAGAGGCATGGGGGAGGTTAGGTTTGCAAGGCAGCTTAGTAGAGAGCCAGGCATTATCACAAGAACTGTCATCAAGCTGCACGATAAAGCTCAGCACACAGATTCTGTCCCAAAGTATAGCTCAGCACTCAACCAGGTAGCATCCGTCCAGAAATGCATTCACGTTACAAAGTATGCAACAAGACACAGGAAATACATCCAATGAATGCAATGTACTAATATCACAGGCTCTAAAAGACTCAGCAGCTGGATTCACAGCCCAACCCAGTTCCTAAGGAAAGGTTTGGTCAAGAGGTGTGTATGATTTGTGTGTGTGTGTGTGTGTGTGTACTTACATGACTGCACACTGAGCAAAGGAGAGGTATTCAACAAGGACATCAAGACCTCTGTTTTCATCATTGAGGAACTCCCTGACCCACCTGTGACGCATGAAAGCAGAGAGAGGTTAGCGGGGCGCCAGATCCAGAGCACACCCTTATCCTTTCAGACAGCCCGTTACCGACTAACAGAGAGAGAGAGACATAAAGAAAACTAGGATTCTTCTTATTCTGAAGCCTTCTCATAAATCCTTTTGTACTTAAAGAACTGGTTTAGAACAACTCAGGTCTAGTTTTGGCTTTTCTGCTGATCAATTGTAATACCAGGTATTTGTCCTTTTGGGTTTGCTTTGTTTTGCTTTTCTTTTTTAATTTATAAAAAGAACAAATAATAACTGAAATAAGCACAGCTAGCAGAGCACGTGACAGAAGAATGAACTTTAAAATGCTGAGGGAACATTTATCACTGTACTGTGTGACGTGGAATCATAATAGCAACTGATAAAACAGATGTGTACAGATGTATATAAGGAAAGGCTGTGTGATAATGTGTAACTAGATGTAGAGCCCCAGTACTTCTCTCAACCGCAACGAATATCATTGAGGTTTTAAGCAACTGTTCTAATAAATTAATAAATTACATAAGTGAAAGGAAGATTCTTTATATTGTCTTCTTTTTCTTATTGCTATTTATTCTTTAGTGGATCTCTTTATTGTAGCTTTAAATGTAATTGTAAATCATGGATAGACTAGCAGGCAGGTTTAAACAAATTATTCATACACTGGTTCACCTTTGGCTGAACTTTTCATAGTTGTTATTTAAGTAATGCTGGAAGTTTTTAGAGGCATTTAAGCTTTCATATTCCGCTTCAATCACATCCAGCTGAATTTTCGGACACATCATGCTACTTGTTCATCTGATTTGTAGTTATACAGATCTACCATATATCCAGGTAATGATACTTCGGTAACTATTATAGGCAACATAATTACAAAAAAATGAGACGAAAGTTGTAATAAATGAGAATTATTTGGGATGACGGCTCTTCAATAGCTCTAAAAGAAAGTGGAAAAAATTCCATGGAAAGTAAAGCAGAGCAAGGCTTCAGTTTTCTCCAAACAAAGGAATTCCCATTGCAACTAGAGAAAGAATGTGGAGGGCATATGGCTAAGAGAGCTGGGCTCAGGAAGAACCCCTGACACTCAACAGTATTTAGTCTGCCTCCCCCACAGACCCCTTTACCTCCTCCCCATATTTTGAGGGAACTCCAGGGGGAGATGGATTGAGGTAAAAGGTTCTTAAAATAGTCTTGAAATGATGGCTGTGATGACAGATTGCTGGTCAGCCAATGGCAAGTTAGGCAGGAAACCAATCAGGACCCTGACAGCGGAGGGAAGGAGGAAGAGGGAAAAGGAAGAGAGGTGAGCAGAGGAGCAGAGGAAAGCGAACAAAGCAACTAGACCGGGTCCAGGAGGGAGGAGGGGGGACGAGGAGGTGGGCTTGATCATCAGCTTCCTGCCCCCCTCCCTCGTTGCTGTGAACCCTCACTCTTTCCTCCCTGTACTTCTCTCCAACCAGTTGCTATTTCAGATTTTCTTGGCAATCTCAGGAATAACACACCAGACAGGGCTGAGGATTCAGACACACAATAAACCGGCATCTGTTACACTTAATCCCACCCACAAAAGTCTTCTGAAAATAGAGCTCCTTTTCCTTTGCCTGTGAGCCTTTCTGGAAACTGCATTGAAAAAGAAAAAGTCCTTTATTGATGAAGGCAAATTGTATAAGAGTTATTCACGTGGCTCAATGAAGTCCATAAAAAATGAAGGCGTGTTTTACTTTGGTTCACGGATTAAGTGGCAAGTCACTGCAGCACCTCCATGACTACGGATTACAAAGATCTTGTCTGCGACACTGAAGGCTACGAATCGATAAAATAGCATCCACGTGTGTGATGGATGAGGAGGAAAATGTACTGCTTTTGATTCTGCAATGCAAAAATGTGGTTTGCTTTACTATGCGAGACTTCTGTAAACATACATGTATCCTTGTGTTTGTTCTTGTGCTTTTCACTGGGTGCAGCAATGGTCAGCCGGGCTTCCTGTCCCTCTGGCATACAACAAAGCTTCCTGCTGCCTTCTATGGGGGAGTGGACAAGGCCACACAATGGCTACCATCTGGGCATTATGAGCACCAGCTCTATGAAGTGGAGCTGCAGAGCTTGGCAGTTGGAACAATAGGAGGGGGGAATCTGGGCACCAGAAAAAGCTCTGGGTCCCTGCAGCAGCAGCAGCAGCAGCAGCAGCAGGGACACACAATAGAATATTCTTTACTGGGCAAAACAATAATGTGGTTTCCTTGAGCTTTAGATGAATAGACCTGCATAATTCACCAGAAAAATAGAAGATAAGACATGATTACCCAATGTGATTTGTCCTCAGTGAAATCTCCAGTTCCCTCAGGACTTTTGTAGATTCCTGCACACGCCTGCGAAACTTCTGTAAGACACAACGAATGCTGGTTATTACAGGTTACATTGAAGCTGTGCTTTCTAGGCAGTTTTCATGAGAACTTTTCAGTTCCTTAAAAACAACAATAATCCTACTCAGCAGGTTTAGTGTTGCCCTCATCTTCAGGCTGAACTGTAAAATAGAGGATGAATAAAGGAGAACCAGAGAAGTCAAACACCCTGCAACCTGACCAATGAACTTCTGATACTTTAAGCTGGTAACAGCTGATAATGCCTCAAGCAGAGATAAGGAGAAGGTGCATCAGAGCTGTCACAGAAGTTGTGTGTGTAACCTGTAAGTAGACTTTGACACGCATCAATCAGCCGGGTTCTACTTTATGATTTTTGTACGGTCCCACCTTTCGTGTTACTCCAGGATCTAAGTACCCGCGAAGCTTCTGGATGTAGGTGTGAGGAGGATTCTTCACCTGAAACCTCTCCTGAAGATACACAAAAGAGCGGCGTGATGTAAGTTGCTGCAGTCAGCCACACCAAAATGTGGACAGGTGTGTGTAGTCTTACAGCAGGTTTACTAATTAATGATACAAAGTTCACAAATTCACCTGGTCGCAGATCAGGTCCCACTTCTTCTCATTGTCATACTGTCTGAGGAGCCGGGCTTTGTCTGGAGGCAGGTTCATAGAGTTCTGGGAAACAGAAAAAAACAAATAATGTAAGCATTGGTTTCATTCATAGTGTCTTTATGAGTCTCTGGCGCCATCAGCAAACTGATGACAACGTTTTCAAGACTTATACCGTGACCTCACTTCCTGTGTTGACATTTGGCATCCTGTTGAAGGAGACGACGTGCATCTCCTTCTCACTCTTTGGTCTCAGTATTGTTCAGGCAGCACATTTCTTCATAACACAACATGCTGCTATCAGGGTACCGGCCTATTACCGGACCTGTCATCAGACTTGTTATGTAAACCAGCAACACTTGAATGCCACACGAGATGACCTGATGCAGCCGTTTTTCTGGGCTCAATTTAAACCCCATATTATGTAATCTGTATTTAGAAGCTAAGCACAAATTTAGGATCTCATGTCCTCATGACTGCTTTAAAAAAATAACGCAAGCTGAATGACACTAGTGTTTGACTAATTACTTCCTCCAATGACACAAATGCTTATAAACACAGGTTGACATGGAAATCTTAGATAGGAGGAAGTGCAACAATAAGGAGCAAACTAGTCACTGATTCTCTTTGAAGAAATGTGCGATTGTTTTTGCACTCAGACCCCTCATTTCCAACAGTGGCAACAGTATCCCAAAGCTCAGCCACAAATGGCCCGTCAGCTTGACTTTTAACCTGCAGCTATAACTCAGACTGCTGTCTAAAATGCAACAGCTTTTAACCCATCCCACCAGGCCAGATGTGATGTTCACGCTGGCATGTTCCAGTGTGGAAAACAACACATACTTGTTTCTATGGTAGCAACTCAGTCACCAGAAGTGGTGGAAATATCGCACGAGAATATATTAAAATGACTTTTCCAAATCATTGCTCACTCCATCACAGCGTCATGAATCATTTTGTCCTTGCAAGCGCCAAATATGGAGGCAAATATGGTCCTGCCAGGACCATAAAGAGCTAATAATTTCTATACAAGTTCACAGCTTTGTAATCACAGATTGCAGCACACATTCAAAAATAAGCGAAACAACTTTGAGCTGGCAGTGGATGCCCAAGAATAGCTATAAACAAGGTAAACTAAGAAAATGCCGGGCAGAGCTATAACAGGCTATCACCAGAGTGGAAAGCAGTGTGAAGATTTCACATATGGCTTATTTTGACTAACCCAAAATACCCACGCCGGAGAGAAAAAAGAAGTAACATGGGTACCAGATGTTCAGAATTACAAGAGGAATGTGTCCTGTTTATAGTAGTAGTTTATAGTAGTAAACTTCTCTCATGTCTGACCCCCAAGCTGCTCTCTCCTCCTTTGCCTCTCCTGGGACAAGATTTACCTACAAGACCATCTCTAGGAAGGTCATAGATCTTCCACGTGTCTCTAATGGTTTGTCTGAACTTTTGGGTTTTTCCAGTGATTTGACATGAACTCTAAAAAACAGATCAATAATTTTTAATTTTTAATAAGACGGTTGTTCCAAATTTCCTCCTATCACTGTTCACTGATTAAAAACCGTTGTATATTTTTGAATAATAATCTACAGCTGGTCATCATGGGGCAAGAGAAATACGTATATGTATATATTTATATTTGCTGGTCAGAGGATGGATTGAAATTTATTTTGATAATCGTAGAGATGACAAACATTAGCTTCTTATTTTGGAACGTTTTTGTGATTTTCTTAGACAAATAAACACATATGATTGACAGGATAGCTATCAAATGAATAACTGACGAACACAATCATAAGCAGCAGCCCTAATTTCCTTTATCGTACACTCTTCTGTGATGGTAAGGTAAAGAGTTAAGTGAAATAGTCACGACTTTTCTATGGTCACACGCTTCGGGTTGTACCCCGGCCCCAAAGCCGCCTTTGGTTTCTCAGTCAGTGCACATGAAAGTAGAGGCAGGCTAAGAGCAGGGTCTCCTTTTTGTACTAATTTAATTCTGAATTACTGGAAAACATGCAGACCAGATGTATGCACAGATACTCCTTTTAGTAATGAAAAAATAAAAATAGGAACATAATTGATTATAGGTAAAAAAAAAAAGAAAGTATATTTCGCTAAACACAAATTAATGACCAGAATCCCTCAACGCACCGAAAAGCTATTCTGAGCAATGAGGACACATCACATACTGCTGTTTAATGATGTTCAACTGTCACCTGAAGCCTCGGGTACTATAAATAAATAGCAGTGTGAGCGACAGAGGGGCAAAAGGCGGAGGGAAAGTTTCCTTTCTGACCAGATTTGGGTAATTTGAGCCAAGTAACCCAATTTAGCTAATTTCATTTCACTTTCTCCCACAGTGATATTATCGCTCGCTTCCTGTGTTTAGAAGAAGCTAAAAGAAGCTAAAGGAGAGGGGGCAGGAGCCTTTTATCATTTCGAAATCACTGGAATGTTTTAAAGGGAAAATACTACAGCTATGCCAAAAATGTTTTGGCGCTCGTTGCCCACATATTCTCTCCTCCAGCATGGCCTTTCTTGTTTGACCTGAGACTGGCATGACAAAGGATTCAGTGTGGAGCTTTGTTTTGATTCGGTGCTGTGCCATTCCCATCCTTTGACATTTGAGCCAACTTTTTTCCTCTCACAGAAAACCGCTAACAATGGCTGGTGGGCAGGGTCAGTGTATGCCCTCTGGTGCTGTGTAAAGCAAAATCCAGCTGAACACAACACCGATACACTTCACAACCAGATGAACTAGTTCTATTGTCACTGCTATCTGACAAATCGTTAGGTCCCAAATGTGAGCAAAGGGTGGAGATTGCAAACACAGCCATTTTGATCTCAGTGCATTAAACTGTTAATTTACTGAGGTTAAATCAGTTAAATGGTAAAAAAAAAAAGTGAAATGCAGACACCATAACATAGATGTGCAAAAGTTCTGTCTTTAAAACATTTCTTTTGGTTTTCTTTAGTGTACATGACTGTAAAGTGAACAAATAAAGACGGAAAACTCGATGGTGCAGAGCAGAGGTCAGCCGTGAGGGGATAAATTCTGAAACAGGCATTTCCGTCATTAACAAAGGATGACAGAGGTTTCAAAGCGTCAACAGTTAAAGTAGTTCATGGGGTCATGTTTCTGGTTAAGGAGAGTCCAGGAAGTCCTAAGCAGAGCGCTCAAGTCACACACAGACCCCCACAAGTGAGGGGATGTTTTGAAGAGCCCATGGACCTTTGAGAAATTAGAGTCACCAGGGCAACTCCGTCCTGCCCTACGCTGGACAGCTTCCTAATCCAAATGATTTACAATCGGCCCGATGTTACGTTATTGACCTGCAAGTCCCACCAGAAGTCCCCAGAGATACCAGTCTGAAAGCAGGACAAGATGTTTCCTCCACGGCTTTTCTCAGTTTCTCTCACACTTTCAGTTGGGATAGCGCGTCACACCAGTGTGCACAAAACTAAAAGATTTTTAATTGGAGAGCTCTGCTTGTGGAATTTCCTCAACTTGTTTGTTCTTGCAGAGGACAACATGCTGCTCATAAGTTGTTCTCAGGTACGCAACAGACATTTACTCTGTAAGTCACTGGTGCTAAAAACATGGTGCAGGATAAACTGCTCTTTTTTTTTTTTGAGTTGTCTGATAATATGGATTTAAATTAGCAACCCTGCAGTTTGAGAGCAAGACTGCCAGCTCTCAGGCTTACTTGTGGTTCCTAGAGTTTCTAAAAGTAGAATGGGAGGCCAAGCCTTCAGCTATCAGGCCTCGGTCCCATGGAACCAGCTCTTCAGGATTCAGGAGACAGACACCCTCTCAAGTTTTGAGATTAGCCCCAAAAATTTCCTCATTTTTAATAAAGGTTATAGTTAGGCTGGACCAGGTGGCCCTGAACCATCCTTTAGTTACACTGCTATAGGTTCAGACTGCTGCAAGACTTGATGTGATGGACTGAACACTTCTTCTCCACTCCCCACATGTTTATATATCATGGCAGCATGTCATTAAATTTTTGTCATCTCTTTCCCTTAGTCTGTGTTTTGTCCTGTCTCCCTATGCTCTTTTTTTTCTTTTCGCTTCTCTTCTGTCTCTTCTCTTTCCCTTCACCCCCCAGCCAGTCGTGGCAGATGGTTGCACCTCCCTGACTGTGGTTCTGCTGGAGGTTTCTCCCTGTTAAAAGACAGTTTTACCTTTCTGTCTGTACTGTAGGGTCTTTATCTTATGGTGTAAAACACCCTGAGATGACTGTTGTTGTGATTTGGCACTTTATACTTTTTTAACTGAAATAAGTGACTTACTAAGAAGATACATTCAGTGTGATTCTTTCTTTTGTGGTCTGTCGGTGGGATGGAAATGCAGAGTCTGTGTCTTTTATCTGCTTTGATAGGTTTACACAGAGCAGACAGTTATCATCATCTCACAGGAAAATGAGTGGGTGGCTAAGGAGCTCACTGTCGTAGTTCAAACATGGAGGCCCAGACGGCCCTCGTTCCCCCCAACCTGTCTGTCTGGTCATCAGGGTGGGGTCCAGGAAAACGGGATCTGTGGCTTAACTCAATTGCTACCATAATCAGGGCCGACGACACACTGACCCTATTGCAGGACAAAGCAAGGACTTTTTAAAAATATGTCTATGCATCACAGTTGTTTCACAACGGCCAGTCAATGACCTTCAACAGATTCTACTAAAACTAATCAGCTACTTACTCTTACTGTTCATGAAGCCATCGATCATTAAATCATGCACTTTACTTCATATGTGCATTCTTGTTGTCTTATTCTTCCGTTTTCTCTGTGCAAACTCTTGCTCCCAAGCAACACAGCTGTATATGAACAAGAGACATCCTTCAATAATCCAGTAACACAAGGAAGATAATGAAACAGCCAATAAGGGTAAGATAAGACCTGGTCCTCATTATTAAAAGGTGCTGTGTGAGGAGGGTGGTAACAGGCAAACTACTGACTGTTACATCCAGCAAGGGGGCAAAGAAAGCACAATGAATAAAGAACCTGGCACAAGTGTGTTTCCCTTAAGCTTATTAAATGCATAGCTTAGATTTAA